CTGCTTTGTCAAGTTTGAAGCCAGAGTTTAGGGTTTAGGGTTTCGGGTTTAGAGTTTAGGGTTTAGGGTTTAGGGAGGCCTTGGAGACTTGGAGACATTTCACATTTTCCCTTATTGAGTTGAAAGAGGATCATATTTCAGGAATGTTTTTCAGAGGGCTTTAGGGGCCATTTTCCAGACAACCGAAGGCCCCAGAAGCCTAAACCCTAACCTGAACCTGACTTTATGTTTCCTTGATGATGCCCTTGTACTTCTGATTGCTTCAGAATGCGAGGGGCCTTGGGTTCAGGAAGATTGCTGGCATTCGGGTTGACAGCCCTGAAGGAGCACCCAGAACCCGCTCTATTCTAACGTCGTTGGTCAACCATCTAAATGATACCCCGATTGGGGGGTAGATATCAACAACACCTAACAGTGTCCTCCAGCTCATACACCCCAAACTCTTAAAGCTTCTTTGGTCCCTGTTATCATTCGGCAGGCAGTCAAGGACTTCGTCTTTGAAGTCGAAGAAGATCTGCTGCGCAAGGCCGGTTGCGTGAGAAACTTTGCGTAACAGGGTCACGGACTTTAGGATGGGGCAACCGTATTTGCATTCCTATAGTAGAGGTACTTTAGGCATGTAAATCTGAGTTTTTGCCGGTTGTTCGGGCCCGCGGCCGACGATGTTTCAAGAGAAGGACCTTCACCTAAAGGTGCTTTTCGAAAAACCATGCAGTTGGCCAGATTTCTTCGGCCCTTTGTATTGATGCCAGGGGTTCTCTGAGCAGTTGAGCCAAAGGATATTGGGTGTGGAGTTTGTTTGTTTCGTTTTAATAACTGCACTGCCTAGCAGTACCCTTCTTCCCTTTTTGGGGGGCTTCAACCCCTTTATGCAAAAAGGGGCACCCTTTTTGATCCTCGATTACTGGGCAACCTGGAACAACAGTGCTACTTGTAACCAAGGGGTTCAAAGGATGCCTCCACAATCGCACGAAATTTTGGGGGTTTGAGTTTTGGGCTGTATACAGACCCAAGAACGGCGTCTTGGGTTTAGAAACCCTAAGCCCTATACGCTAGACCCTAGCACTGAGCCCACACGGGCGAGTAGAGCTTCCGCTGGAGTCGAGCGGGCATGTCTGGGATGTCCAACCCTTCCCTAGATCCCAAAGCCCCCTGATCATCGTAGAGGGAGCGACCTCCATGGGAGTCGCTGTCGCCGGCTCGCTGGCGCTCGTCATGTGCCGGAAACTCAGGACTTGGGGCGGGTTGAGGGCAAGGGCCCCGCTTAGCCTGTGTAACCACATATCCCATAGCCCTAGACTCCCGAGCCCTACCGCCCTAGAGTTAACCCTCGTAACCCTATAGCCCGCGACCCGAGATAGCCCATTCGAAGAAACACTGGCATAAATTGCTGTCTGTTAGGTTTTCCCGCGCCCCTGCATTTTTGATCGCACCCGCTTTTCTTTTGAGACTGAAATTCAACAGGATGTGCTGTTGGCCACCCTAACCTCTGAACCCGCCCCCCCCCCCCCCTATACTCCTAAACCAATCTGCATCATGATGGTCATGGCCGTCGTGAATGGCAGTTGGCATGCTTACAGGGCGGTTTTAGGGCTTAGATGGCCTATTGAGTCCATAGGGCATGTACCTGGGACCCTCTTTACCTACAGCTTTTCTACCTACGAACCAAGGGTAGTTACTACTAAACCTGTAATTAGGCAGATAGAGTCCCAGGTAGGCCTTAGGGCTAAGTAAGAGTGCTCCCGAATGCCCTCAACCCCCGAAATTCTGAAATTCAAGGCAGGGATGCCATGCGCGTTTCCCTGACGCCCCGGCCTCAGAGGAATCCTTGGGGGAGGTCTCCTTCAACCCTGAACCCAAACCCTAAACCCTAAACCCTAAACCCCAAACCCTGAACCCTAAACCCTAAACCCTAAACCCTAAAACCCTAAACCCTAAACCCTAAACCCCTGTGGCCTCTGGTGGATTGGAGAGCATCATGGGACGAGCGCTTTTATCGGGTTAGGGAGGGTTGGTTTAGGGTTGGTTCAATCAGGGCAGCGGAGCTGTTTCGACGAATGTGTTATGGTAGCAAAAGAGAGTGTGCGAGACAGTGGGAAGCGCCGCAAGACAGCCAGACAAAAGATGTAATCAAAGAGGACGCTGTAACACAAGGGCGGCCGTCGCAATCCTACTTTTTGAGCAACCTGGCAAAGAGTCCCCGATAATTTAAACCCTATGCCCAAATGGTGGTTCTGAGAATTGAATTATGGTCCATTATGGGCAGCCTTCATGAATTTTACTTGGAACCCCCAAACAATCACGGCGACTTTAGTAACTTTAGACTCTAGACCCCAAAACCCTCCGTCTGTTCCCCAAGACGGATCGCAATGTTGGGTAGTTGGGCGCCTTCCCCCTCGCGATTTCATGACAGTTCCGTCCACAAGGCCCTGGTGAATTTCGGAGAATCCTCAACAAGCGTGCGTGCTTATTCAGGCTTTGCAGGGTTTAGATATGGGGTTAGCAGTTTAGAGCTGGTAGTGTTGAGGACCAGGGTTCCAGATGGAAGCTCGAGCTGCTGCTAAGGACACACTTGTGGCACGTATTCATGCAGATGTTCGGCAGCAAGGACAGACGCGCCGCCATACTGCCCCAGGTCCAGGGTTTAGGGTTTAGGGTTTAGGGTTTAGGGTTTAGGGTTTAGGGTTTAGGGTTTAAGGTTTAGGGCTTAGAGTTTAGAGTATACACTCAAACCCCCCAGCCCAGGTTGCTTTGGTGAATTTTCTTTCCTTTTTGTCAGCACGTCCAAAACTATCAAGACTGACCCTCAATTAGATGTGAAACAACGCGCAAGTGTTGTTAGGAATGTCATCGCCGTGCATCCTTTTGTCAACTGGATATGTGTATAAATACGTGTAAATATACACATGTGTATGTATATGTATGTATATACACACGTACGCGTTTTTCGTTCAAGACACACACACACACACACACCCCTGCCCATAGCAGATCTCATGGTGTGCTTTTCGGGAAAATGGGCTCCCAGAACACTGAAATCTTGCCCCTAAACCGTAAACCCCAAACCCTTGACGTCTATGGCCATCTGACCTTTGAAGTGCGTAGAAGCATTGAGGCTTAGGTGCATGAACATCTTGAGGTGCAGGCCTGGCGGCTTCAGGCGGGTTTAGGGTTGAGGGTTTAGGGCTTAGGCATGTGCTTGGGAAGCGGCCCACATCCCGGCCACTGACCGATCATTCGTCCAGGCAGCCTCCTTTAGCACATGCCGAGCAGACAAAGCGCAGTGCAACCTCGAAACCCTGTGGACCCTATACCGTAAACGCCAATTAGAGTTGGAGATCGGTCTCAACCCTGCCACTGCAGGCAAAGCTAAGGACCTGGTCTTGCTAGTGTCACTCCTTAGCCGCTTATGCTTCAGAGTGTCAGCCAAGGGGCCGGAAACCGAGAACCCTGCAAACCCTAAACCCCGACGCCCTTCGGCCTAGCCAAGAGCTTACTCGCGTACATGGCTTTGCCCCTCACAGTGCTGGCTGTGCTGGGCTACTCGGCGGCACGAGGGTTCGGTGGCAGCGAGACGTACCGTTACTACTAAGAGCATAGGAGACAGTTTTGGCCGTTGAAGCCGGAGTAGCCACAGCCACCCGAGGTTGCCCCATGTCAGGGAAGCCATTTCTGGCTGCATGCATAGCCGCATATAGCTGTATAGATCTATGAATGATGACACCTTCAGTGCCTTCTTCCACACCAGGCTCCTCCGCATCAGCTGCGCCATGGTGGCCAAGGCACCCTTTAGGGCTTGGAGGGGTTGAGGCTGTGTAGGGTTTAGGACAGCAAGCTTGCCATTCGTACCTTGTGGCTCCTTGATGCATACTTCGAGTGCACCTCTAGCAGCTGCTGGCTGGTAGATGAATAGGCCGCGGCCTTAGGTGTGGCTACGCATCCATACTTGAATGGCTTTTGAGAAGAAGCCCCTTCGGAAGCCCCTTCCTCCAGAGAGCCGTTGATCTGTTGTAATCAATGCTCGCCATCTTCGCCCCCAGAGCCCACGGCCGAATGGGCTTGCAATAGCAAGCGCGCCACCTCAGTGTGACCCTTCGATTCGCAGATGCGCGACTGCCATTCTCGTCCGTCAAGTCCTTGTCCGCCCGGGCTTCAACAAGCAAGCGCACCACCTCAACGTTTGCAGATGCACAGAAAAGGGCAGAGTTGCCAAGCCCATCGGTGAAGTTCCTTGTCCGCACCGGCTTCCAACAGGATGCGCCCCGCCTCAACGTGGCCTTTGGCTATATATCTTGCGGGGGCGTGGGGGGAGGTGCATCGAATCCTATGAACCCCAAAAACACTATGCACATGGCCGTTAATGGCCACGTTGAGGCAATGCGGGTGCTGCTGGGAGCTGGTGGGGACGAGGATTTGACAGATTAACTTTGGCTCCACAGCCTCTGTGCTCTGCATCTGGCCGCTGGTCGGGGTTATGTTGAGGTGGTGCAACGTACTTTCGCAGACAGGCACAAGCCTATAGTTCCGTTGAATTTCTGCGCTCTCTGAGCTCCGTAGTTCTCCGTTCAAGAACCGTAGGGTGAGGGGTTCAGGGCAAATACCGGAACCCTTTTGTTCAACTGCCGTTGCCCCAAGGGTCCTAAAGCATTCCTACACCTTCTAGAGACCCGAAAGTAGATGGAATGAGTTATCTTGGGATTGTGTTGTTTGTCCCCGAAATTTCTACCTTTAAAGCATGGCTGGCTGTAGACCCTGAAACCTAAACCCGAAAGCAAAGAGCCTCAACCGCCAAGCCTCAACCGCCAAACCTTATCTGTCACCCCAGTGGCCCTTTGTCCTGGACGCCGGCCATTCCTTGTGGCTTAAACCCTTGGAGCCTAAAGCCATCTGGATCCCTAAATCACAAGCCCAAAATCCCCCCCAAACTCCCGAAACAGCCCCCTACACCCTATGCACGGCACCAGAGGCATTCTGTCAGCGGCCAGTCTGCCGGAGGGTCCATGGTCGGGGGCTTGGTAGATCGGATGAATGGGGGGTTGAGGAGTTTGGGGTTTAGGGGGTTAGGGGGTTGTTAGGCTGAGTTTGGAGGTTGAGGAGTTCAAGAGCAGCCTCGAGTCTTAGGGTCGAGGCTTGAAGGACTTAAAAGTGTGTGGTTGAGGGTACCAAGGGTCAACACCTCAAGTCAAAGCCACACCACCTCCCCTCATCCTTGAAACCCCAAAGCCCTGAAGCAAGAGGCTCAACACCAAAGGACCCTTAAACCCATACTGTAGAGCACCCCAAAACCCTAAACCCTAAACCCCCTATACCCCCTAAACCCCCTAGACCCCCTATACCCCCTAAACCCCCTAAACCCCCTAAACCCCCTAAACCCCCTAAACCCCCTAAACCCCCTAAACCCCCTAAACCCCCTAAACCCCCTAAACCCAAAGCCCCTGATGCGGTTAGGCGGTGAACCACCTCTTCGCCTTCTCGGCGGCCCGGCATGGAGTTCGGGGGGAAGCACGGAAGGAGTGTGGTCCTTGAGGGCCTTAAAAACCCTAAACCCTAGCTACCAATTGCTTAAGAAGCCCCCAAAAAATATAGATATTCTTCCTTATAAGGGCCATATAGGGATTCTTAGTTTGTATTTTGGGGGTTCTTAAGCAATCAGTAGCTAAAGTTATGTTTCTTGAGGGCTTAGGGCTTAGCATTCAGACAATTAGGGTTCCATGTGTTTTTTTTAAATTGGGCTCAGGGCTAGGGGGGTTGTAGGATGCCCAGATCAACAGCTTGTTCTGAGATTCTGGTTTGCATCGTTTCGGTGGATCCCAAACTCGGGAACCCCTAAGGCCGAGATAGACCGTGTGGCCAGTATGCCCTGACCTCTGAAACCGAGTTGCCTGAACCCCGACCCTTACATCAATCGCTTGTCGCGGAGACGTAAGCCTAAACCCTTAAGCCTTGGTTGCGATCCTGAAAACCCTAGAGCCCTCCGTCCTTAACATAGTATTCAACCCTAAAGCACGAAAACCCTGAAAACCTCCTAGCTCAACAGAGGAACCTGTAAACGAGAGAACCCCAGCTACCCGTAGCTCGAATCCTTGAACCTATTTAAATCCTAAACTCCAAACCCTGAACCCTAAACAGTGCACACTGAACCCTGAACCCTGAAAGCTCTCCGTCTGTTCCCCACGGGCTTGCACCGAGGCCAGTGTGGAGGGCGCCGGCGTGGCAGCAGGGTCTCCGCGACCCGGCTCCATGAGTAGGTTTTAGGGGTCTCTAGCAATATCGCGTGGGGCCGCACAACTTACAGTAAACGCCAGAAATTTGGAACATGGATTCCCTTAAGTGTACTTCTTGGGGTATGGGGATAAGGATGTTCCAACTTTTTGGAGTTTACTGGGTTGGGGTGCGGGGTGGGGTTCAATTAGGCTCGACTACATGACTTTCTGGGCGTTTTAGGGCCAGAACGGAAGTGGGGATACGAGCGACTCAGGATTTTCAAAGCATAGAAGGTTGATGGGCTTTAGGTTTTAGGGACTCCTTAAGGGGCTGCTGCAGTCCGTGTTTGGACTTAATTCGGTTATGTAGTGGTTTCAGGGTTAGAGGCTTTAGGATCGAAGCGTGTTGGCGCACACGATTGAAGATTGCAAAGTGTTTAGGATTTTCGGGTTCGGTTTGGAGTTCGGTGGTGGCTGCTTCGCTCAAGTAGCATCCCCGAGCCCAGTACCTTAAACCCTGTGATTTCCGTTTGACTGTCAGGCTTTGAATGCCCATCACGGCATATGAGCACCCAAGCAACCCAAAACCACGAAACGTAAAGCCCAAACCCCTATAACACCCTTAACTCCTCCAAAAGGTACGGCTGCGGCGTGCAGCCTGATGAGGCCATTTTCAGGGGAAAGAGGCAGTCGGATTGGGTTTCAGGTGCAGACTGTAGGATTTAGGAGGTATAGTTGGGGGGTGGGTGGACGGTGAAGGAGCAGGGTTGTACTTAGGAAGCGGTTTGAAGTTTGGGGTTAGTTGCAGTTACACCATGTACCGTTACCGCCTGGTTTCGATTCCACGCAGCTTGGCCCCAGCTTCTTTTTTTCTGCAGCAATCGCCTGCGAGTATTGAAACCTAAGCCCCCAGAGTAACAGGATCAATCTCACGAGGCCACATCCATAGGCCGCACATCCGGAAGCCTTATAGCCCTAGCAGAGAGACCTTGGGATGTTTTCTCGAACGCGCTTTTTTGGGTTCTGAAAACCCTGGGTCGGAAAATCTTGTTCATGGGGGTTTAAGGGGCCAGCCTCGGACCTCAGGCCCATTAAGCCCTTATCGTTAATTCTGCCAACATTTTCCGGAACTTCCCGCACCTTGCCTGAGGGATAGATGACTGTCCAGCCTTAGTGTTTCATTCCGGCGTGATCACGAACATTTTGCAGGAAGATCGCTGCTACTACGGCCATGTGGATATTCCGGCTTCGGTCGGCTACGCGTGGCTTTCCTGAAGCCACAACTTGGACCCTGAAATAAGGTCCCAAGTCCCGACCCTTACACAAGCCCTCCATCCCATACCACCAAGCCTAAAAGCTCATACAGCCCCTGCAACCCTAAGCCGCCCAAAGCTCGAACAGCACCTTGAACCATAAGTCGCAAATCTGCACCAGGAAAACTGGCCATAGATACCCAAGAAGAGTGCACAGTAGCATGTGAGGATGTAGGCTAGTTACTTTGGGCAGCCCCAACAGGTATCAGCGCTACCAGGAGGGTCACATCGACGACTTGGGTAACCTGTCCCTTGGCTACACTTGAAAGGCTCGGATTCATTGCTTGTGTTTTAGATTCTTATATGATTAGTTAGATTAGTTATGATTATATGATTGGTTAGATTATATATTATGATGGCTTCCGAGTCCATGTTGTGTACAGGGCCTTGGGCTTGAAGGGCCTTGGCATGCGAACCTTGCGTTGCACCAGAGTTGGAGGTATGCGTGTGTATTGCTTGCCCTCTACCTCGAAGCCTTATGACCCAATACCCCTGAGCCCAAGCAACTTAACCGGCTCGGCTACTCAGCTGCAACAGCCAATGGCAGAGGAAGAAGACGCCAGTGCTCCTCTTCAACGGGAACAGCGACAACGAGGTGTACACAAGGATGCGTGGGGAGTGTGGATTTAGGGTTCGGGTTCCCGGGTCTAGGCGAGGTTCCGCACCCATCTTCCTCCATAGTACCCGGTAGTCTTCATTATAAGGCTCCTGCAGCTCGTCAGAAGCCTCCAGCCGCCAAACCGTGATGTTCTCAGCACTTTCTAAACCCCAAGCCCGAAGCCTAAACCCTCAGGACTATGGTTGACACCTTCAACCAGCTGCAATATTTCGTGGATGCAAAGTTCCTCCACACCGCCTTCACAACAGGCACAGACTTCTGATGAATCTCTGCTTCCTGGCCCCGCAGGAAACCCCCAAAGGCCGTGAATCCCATGGCTGAGCGAAGCCCTTAAGCCCCAATGATCGCAGAATCCCTAGACTTGGATTCTGCAGTTTCGCTGGGTAAACCCAGCAACGGGCACCTAAAAGCCCCAAAGAATCCTAAACCGGGCTGAGGGTTCAAGAAGATGCTGAGGGAGCCTGAACAAGGCCCCAGGACATCTCAACCCACACTTTAGACCATGGGCTCATGGCTCCAAGAAGCCCCCAAAAAAACATGAAAAACAAGGCCTCAACAGGCCTAACGTAACGGAAGAGGTTGCCAGGGCCTGGGCGACCCGTAAAACCCTCTAAGCCCTCTTCACTTATTCCCATGGCCTGTCTCCGCGTCGCGCTTCTATGAGTGCTCCAAGCCACGATATTCAGGATGTTGGGACACCTCCCTCTTCAGGAAAACCTCCCAGAGAAAAAAAGTCCATCTCAGGTTTCCCCAAGACCTCAACCTCACCACCTTGCTCAGATGCTGCACACGTGTGGAGCGTGGACCATGGCAAGTGCGACTGTCCCTCGTCTGCTTTGCAGTCGCCCTTGAGAATACCATATGGGGGTACCTTATTGGGTCCTTATTCTAAGGGAATCCTGCTATTTGTGGAGTTCATATTAGGACTCCCTTGTTTTCGTAAACTCCTACATAACCACCCTTCCGGAAGGTTTAGTGGGTTTAGGGTCTTTGACGTTACTAAGAAGGCTTGGGGGAGTTCTGGCGGTTTACTTGAAGATTGCAAGGTCTAGTCCTGTAGGCTCGCGGGCCACACACGTCTTACTAAGAGTGGCCCTTTACCACAAACAAGAGAAGGTCGAGAGGAAGTCCTAAAAGAAGGCAGAACTTTCCCTTCTCGAAAGTCAAGGCACGCTTCCCGTCTTCAGGGTAGATGTCATAGTCTTGGTAGGTCGGCCCCTTAACCCCTTCCGAAAATCCTGCCGAAATGCTGAATGGGAAGCCCTAAGCCCTAGAACCCTGAACCCTCGAATCCTGGAACCCTGCCTTAAGACCCCAGAACCCTAGAACCCAAACCCTAAATCCCAGGTCCGCTTATGGGATTTCTCTGTTTTTTTTGTGCTTGGGGACAAAGAGGTAGAGCCTTTTTGTTGGCAGGAGGGCAAGGGCTCAGGTCTTAGGGTTTGGGGTTTGGAGACTGATTGAGGTGTTGGGGTTTAGGCTTGAGGGCTGAGGTGCTTGGGGCTTGTCGGGTTTAGGGCTTGTAGACCCGATAGGGTTGAATCCCAGTCTCTGGGGGTCCAAGGGTGGCAAAGTTCAGGCGGGGCATGCGCGGACTTCGACGATGCTCCGCTCTGCTGTGATGTGAACAACTGCTTCTACGACCTCAGTGGCCGCCCAGATGCGAGGATGAAGGGTCTAAGGGCACAGCCGGCCAATGATTTCCAAGATCGGCTAGCTGAGGCATCTGAGTATCATTGTTCAAATTACCCCTGTGCTGGTGCCGTAGTTGTTTCTTGACCGAAAACAGGACATTTACACATGTTTTCTTGTCACAGAACCACAGGTCGTCCCTAAGCTCATGGTCTATTCAATTGGGGGTCTGAGGTGTAGGCTTTTTAAAACTGTCTACCTGAAGCGTAACGCCGTGAGTGCTGTGGCTCGTGCTAGGCGACATGCTGCGCAAGATCTACGGTCCTCTGCGAGACCGGGTGCAGGTAGCTTAGCGGCGGTGTGCCCACGAAGTCAACAAGGTTTTGCGGATTTACGGTGCTGTAAATCACTCGGAACTGAGACTTGTACTGTTCAGGGATGGATTCTTAGGGCTTTGTGTCTAGGGCTTGGGGATCGGGCGTTGGGCGAGGTTTACACATCCGGGTTCAGGGGGTTAGGTTGGGGTTTATAGTAGGGGCTTAGGCTTTAAGGATTGGGTGTTAGAGTCAGAGCATCTGGTTAGGTTGATATGTTGAGCGCGGCTATCTCGAACCCTCACAGTGGTGGTGTGCACTTTCAAAAGGCGTTTTCAAACGCAGTTCGTCCGCAGCCTCGTCTACTACTGTAGTCTCTACTACGCCAAATTTGTGTTTTGTATCGTTAGGGCATTCTACCGGTGTCCCTGCTTTTCTCCTACTCTACTACACAGACTTTGGGCATCCTGCTGCACAGAATTGTCCCTGCCTTTTGGGGCGTTCTGCCGGATTCCATTGCTTTAGATGGCACTGGTGTGCAGTACATAGATCAGCTTGCCTGTTGGGTTTACCAGACTTGTCTGCTACATAGAACATTGTTTGGCTTGTTGGGGTGCCCTTGGGTGTTCTGCTACTAGTGAACTTGCTACTTGTAAAAAAGAAGGTCTGGTTTATGCAAGATTGCCCTGGAGAAGTTAGGACGGTTGAGCCTTTGATCCATCCCAGGCACAATACCGAAATATTGGCAACAAAATGCCGGGTCGGTATCCCATGATTTCGCCTCAGGCATCTTGTAATTCGTTGGATCCCAGTCGATATTGAAGTACGGATAGAGGTTCCTAAGCCCTAAACCCTAAACCCTAAACCCCAAATAGTATTTCAATAACAAGCACGGTTCCATTCTCTAAACCAGCAGGACTCGCCCATAGAAATGGTTAGGAGGGGTACCAAACCCACCCATTCAGGGTGCTGCAGCTGCCTTCCGAGGTGCAACCAGTCCTGCACCGGATCAATCAGCGCCTTGTTGGGAAGCTATGGGCTTCGCGGTTAAGGGCTTTAGGGCTAGTATGGTATTGGGCACAGGGTGTAGGTTTTAGGGCTTGCTTAAGATTCAGCACCGATGCACTTGGAGGTTCTAGGTTGTTTAGAAGAATGTTTATGAGTAAGGTAACCTTCTTGAAAAACTTTGTCACCATGAGTTTATATCCTTACTTGTAGCTGCCCATGAGCCAGCAAGAGTACTTGCAAATGGTGAACCATTGTGCGGGAATGGTTCGGGACATTAGCAACTTGATGTCCATGTAATCCGGGCTCCCATAAAATGTGGCCAGCAACAAGAAACCATGTTGATCTGCACAGTCGCAGCAAGAAGGGTAGCAAGGACTCAACACGCCAGCCGCAGTGAGAAGCAGAGGTACTACACTTCACACCTTCTGAATCTTGACTCAGCTCACACCATCTTCGCTTGCACAGGTGAGCATTCGCCTGAAGGACTATAAGCCCACAAGCCTTAGCCCTATAAACCCTGCATGAGGTGGAAGTACGTACCGCCATGGGAGTGGGATGTCAATACGACGTCCAACTCAACCAAGATGCTTGGACGCATTGCTGACTGGCGACTGGAGCAAACCTCCTTACAAGTAACCTTGTTCGGGAATCAAGAGGGCTACAGGGGTTCGGGTTCAGCAAACGCACGGCTTAGGGACCCTGAAGCATAGTCAAAACCGGGCGGGCCCTCATGGTCCTGAAACTGAGGTTCTTGAAACTTCTTTATCCACATACCCCAAAAGCTAGACCAAAGGGTACCACATACCCCAAAAGGTATACCAAAGGGTATAATCATCCCTTAACCATGTTCCAACTTTCTGGAGTTTACTTTGTAGTTGACCGCAGCGCTATCACAGAGGCTACGACCTGCAAGGAACGCCTCCGTCGAGGCCCCCAATAAGCGGCGAGCTCAGCTCAAGCGCACGAGGGGGTTTTCGGGTTTAGGGTTCAGGGTTTAGGGTTTAGGGTTGAGGGTTTAGGGTTGAGGGTTTAGGGTTTAGGGTTCAGGTTGAAGATTCATGGGCAGTTGACATTGAGGAAATGAGAGTTTTGGCACTCGGGTTTAACCCAGCTGTTAAGTTCTCCGGAATATGGTACTTATATTATATTGTAGCCATAGTTATAGCTGCCATGAATCTTCAAGTCAAGCGGGCTTGGAGTCTCGGGCCTGGGACGCGCAAGGCCTTAGGGTTTCCTGGGAGCTGGGGCTTGGAGTCGGAGTTGGGGTTGAGGTTGAGGGTTTGGGAGCTTCGGGTTTAGGAGCTTTTGGAGTTTAGGGCTCTAGGCGCTTTTTGGAGTTTGGGGTGTTGCCCTGGGGATACCGCAAGGAAGGGACGGGCCTGAACCCTATTTTCTAGGTTTTTATGGTGTAGGGTTGAACGCGCCAAACCTGGAGCATGCTGCAGGCATGGGATGTGGCGCTGGGCGCTGGCCTACGTGCCTAGCGGCTGCGTGGGCAAGGTGGGACCAACCTCTTGGCCTGTAATTTAGGGTTGAGGGCTTTGGGGTTGCAGGGCTCGGAGTGTAGGGTTTGGGGGTTACAGTGGGGCCCTCACTGTCCTAACAAAATGGCTGTGGGACTTAAAGCACAGGCTTTGAAATTTATGCTCAACTTAGTTCCCGTATACTTCTGCTTGTGATGAGAGTGCCGCAGCGGCCACGGCACTGTAGACGGTAGGGCGTAGACTTATCCCCTCCCCCGAAAAAGGGATTCGGATCTGTCATGGGTTGTTATCATCCATTGACTAAGGGTTGTGTTGTGAGTTAATGTCAGGGCGAGAGAGTCGGCGCGAGAGTCGGCGAGAGAGAAGAAACCACAGCCATAGAGGCATAGCGGAGTTTTAAGGAAGGTGTTCGGAAATCTGCAAGATCATCATGGCCAAGTGTGGAGTTGTAGGCGAGTTTTTGGGGATGCATCACGGCATGGTGGAGCGTTTCCCTAAACCCTAAACCCTTGCTCTTGCTAGATATCGGCCATACACATGCACGGACACCCAGACATGCATACGCCCGGGCCTATGATCTGACATGGACAAGTTTTGCTGCGCCCTGTGGCCATTTCGCTCTTTACAGCAGACCGCCGCCTCAGACATGTCCGTTGCAGTCTCGGCTCAAGGCATCAAAAAAGTGCAGCCTGGCAGGCGCCGCAGCCAGAACTATCGAGGCCTCAGCATGGCGATGGCTGAGCCAGAAAACACAGAGCTCTCGCGAACGATCGAAAAGGAGCTTCTGAATCAGGTGAGTGAGAGTTGGGCAGAGCATCGGCATAAAGCCTTGAAGGATCTCTATGCCGGACAACCGCCTCCCACAGGCCGTACGAACTCAGTGGAAAGGCCACAGACTCCCAAGTGGCTCTTCAGAGGGCACAACTACCATGGCACCAAGACCAAGGAAGAGCGTGACAAAAGGGTGCTTGACTCACTAGCAGCTGAGCGGCTGGCAGCTATTCCCAGCTCTCGGGGTGATGAACCGACGGAGAGTGTCCACACACAAAAGACGCCGCCGCCTCCTGGATTTGGAGGTGGAACGATGCAGGACTGGGCCAAGCACATGAAGGCATTGCCAGGTGGTCGAAATTGGTTGGACCGATGACACCCGAGGACGCTGCCCAGCACAAATCACGACTTCGGTAGGCGGTAGGCATGTCTCACTTATGGCGACTCTGTGGTATCACACTGAGTGTGGCTGTGCCCTTCGTGTGAAGCTGCACGTCAAAGCCTCTCACAGTAGCAGTGTGCTTAAAGCATGTGATGCAGTAGCTAACCCGGAGACCCCTCCTCGCCTTCATGACACCAGAATATGCGCAACCTACCCATTTTCTTCAACATGGTAGCCTTGGATGGTAGAAGTAGGGTCTGCTCCTTACTTTGTGCAGCTTCATTCGTTGCTTCGCCTAGGAGTTTCACCTGGCACTGAAAGGTGTATCGGAGCACCTTCGGCAAACAGGGTGCGCTGGCTAGGGCGCTGCATCTTCAGGCTTTTGTTCTTCAGCCCCATGATCATCAGAGCAGCAAGCACTTGTCGTGCCCCCCGGCTGAGAGTTAAACACATTTCAAGATGCGTGCAGGTCCACGAGTGCCGCGTCCACGTGAACTATCATGGCGCTTCAGCTGCAGGGAGTCTCTGCTCGTAGGTGTCATGGAGTCTCGCCCATACAGGGCTCCGATGCCAGGGGTTTGTGGCCCACAGGCCGTGCTCTGCAAAGTCTGCCGAGTTTGGGAGCCTGGCAGTGAGCCACCCCTACCGTAGACCACGCGACATCACAGCCACCCCCTGTACCTGAGGTTTAGGGTTTATATATATATATATATATTTTTTTTTAATTAATTTATTTGTTTATTCATTATTGTGTTTTTCTTTTTGTTTTTTTTTTTTGGGGGGGGGGGGGGTTCTGACAAGGATTTTAGGCGGCAACCCTGAGACCCCTCCGAGGGTGCATTCGGAAAACTCTCCAGCGCCGGCGCTTATGGGCATCTTGGCCGGGTGAGCACATCCCTAAACCCTAAACCCTAAACCCTAAACCATGGTGTCGTCAGGTCTCCATGAGTCGCAGTGGAGCGTGTTCGGATTACGGGGTTGAAACCTCAAGGGCAAGCCCCAGTCTTCACAAACCTACTCCCCAAACCCCTAGAAGCCCCCCTCCGACTCGACCCTACGAACTTGAACGCGATTTGAAAACCAAAATCTTGAAGCTTCATGGTAAACGTACCGCGGTTATTCGCAGTTATAAGCTTGTGAGTTTCTAACCCTAGAGTTTGCAAACCACACTTCAGCGCCTCAGCTACAAGCGCGCATGACTGCCAACTACTCATAACTACTCTTGCGCCTCCTTGAAGCTGTGCTCGGGCTGCCGTGAGGCTATGTCCATTGATCTGAATGAGTATGGCGAGGCTAACAACATCGTCATGCTTTACCCTCAGGCCGCATCACCCTGAACCGAAGCTCCACAATGCCTCCACATTTGTGTATGAGCTCGACATGTTCAAACCCTAAGCCCTTTTGGGAGGCCGCCGGCAGCGATCGAGTGGGTGTTGGCTGCTGGACACCTGGGCGGGGTGTGAGCCGCTGGAGATTTTCTGTTTCTATCTGGAGGTTGATCTCATGTTTTCGCCATTGGCAGTACCGTGATAGCTTGCCAACTTAGATCAGCATGAGGGTTGGGGAGTAGGGGCTAAGGCCTCAGGGTTTGCCTTGCTTCTTCTCCCTAAGCCCTGACCCCTCAACCCTAAACTCCCTTTAAACCTGAAACCCTAAGCCAAAACCTTGCAAGTTCTACCAAACTGGCCCGATGCACTCGATGTCCTACAAGCTCATTTACGCGCAACAAATAAACCTATAAGCCTTACGAGCCTGCTAAGAAAAGCACACACTAAACGCCCCACAAACATCCTAAGAAGCCCTATAGGCAATCCGTTACAACCCTGCAAGCAATCAACCCTAAACCCGAAACCCTGAACCCTAAACCGTTGCGCCAGGAACTGGGGGGACGCCAAGGTGGACCCACAGTTCGATACCAAGCGGCCAGGGCCTTGGTAAGTTCACCCTCAGCCTGGACTTGAATTGAAGTTCAGGGTCAAGGGTTTAGGGTTTAGTGTCTGGGGCCTTGGGGTTTCTCGAGGGTTTAGGGAAGCATTGGGTCTGAATCCCCTCCTAAGTACCCTTGAGCATGCCCCCCCCTTCCTTTAAAGTGGCCGGCGCGACCCTACACCCTAAACCTTAAACCCGAAACCCCAAACCCGAAACCCTAAACCAAACCCTAAACCCTAACCCCCCCAACCCCCCCACCCCCCCCCCAGCCCAAAAAATCACCTCCCTTGTTCCCCGACAGTTGGGGTCCCGGACATGCCTAGGTCGTACCAGCTTCGCACGGTCATCAACATGCTGTCGGATCTTCAGAGCGCGCTGGACGAGGCGGAGGTGCTGCATCTGGAGACTCGGCCGGTAGGCTCTTGGGACATTTTGTATTTTCTCTTTCTGGTTTTGAGAGGATTATACTGATTATGCTACTTTAGAATTGCCTAAGCCTTGCCCCAACGCCTGTAAAGGTCTCAGCAAGGCCAAGAAAGGGAGGCTTACGGTGTATGATTACGGGGTACGTGGATGGAGCCTCCCACGTGCAAAGTACTCCTGTCAAAGAACTGGTTTTGGGTTTAGGGTTTAAGGCCGCCTTGTGCCAGCTGCCTCTAGCATGCCTTGTTGTGCAAGCTCCAGCTGCAAAGATTCTCGCGGGAATGGGTGGCCACTTTAAGTTGCGGTTGCTTCTCTAGAGTACCCCTGTACTTTCAAAAAGAGCTACAACGTGCTTCTCTAGAACCCAACCCTGCACTTGAAGCAAAGAGGTACACTCTGCGTCTTTTTTTTGTTGGGAGGTACGTGGGCCATAGGGGCATATGGGCCAATTTCTCTCGGGCCCTTGAGCCGACCTCACCTCATATTTGCCTTTGAGGAGTCGGACAAAGGCCCCGACGAGGAGCAGGATGATTCCGATGATGAGAAGCCGATCGTTCTAGCTCTGGAAGCTCTGGAGCTTTATGTCTGAGCAGGGAAGCACCCCCAAGATGATGGCGTAGAACCCGACAATGAAGCGTCCAGAGTCTCTTGAGGCCATGGTTATGGGTAAAGGGGGGGGGGGGGGGTAATAGCTCAACCCAAACCCTGTTTAGGAAGACCATGTTCCCGCACAAATAGTCCCTCGTTTGAGAGCTTCCGCTTTGATGGGGCAGCGGGCCGCGCTGGCAATGCCACCGTGGGACGTCATAGCAGCCAACCTGCCAGACCGGCTACAGTGTTCAGGGCTTCAGCATTTCGAGTTGGGGTCTGTGTGGTAGACCGTTTAGGGTTTATAGGGGCTAGTTGAAAGTTTCAGGATGATGGGTTTGGGGTAAAGACTCATGATTTGCATGTGCTTTTCATGTTCCCCAATATGGTTTTCAAACAGTCTGGCCGCCTAGCCGAAAACAAAGCCTACTCGAAATCTCTCCACCTCTTGTGAAAATTATATGCAACCCACCAGAATCACAAGGGCGGGTAAAGGCTACTATGTGGAGTGCCGCGCCAGCTCCTGTGTCGCAGGCTTCTAAGCACACGGAGAGAGGGGACGCCTCAACCTGCAGCCTGAAGTCCGTAAACTTTCAAAGCATATCTTTCCTTGTTTTTAGAGGGCTTTTCCTTGGAGGTGTATACAAGAATCCTTTAGAGGCCTGTGTGGCTTTTCTGGCCCCTGATTTTCCCGAGCCGCGGTTCTCCTGTGCTTGACATGACCGCGGCTTGAAGAGAGCCCCTACTTGGAGGTTCAGGGTTTAGGGTTTAGGGTTTAGGCTTAGGGTTACTTATGACCTTTATACAGGGCACTTGAAGTACCATGAACCTTCAAGTAAGCTTCAGAGGGACCTCGTGGCTGGAGTGCACAGCAGCACGAAAACGTGTTCGGGGCCGGCCCCTTCTTGAGTTCAGGGTTTATGGGTTTAGGGTTTTGGGTTTAGGCGGTTTAGGGTTTAGAGGGTACCTGTAGGCCCTGCGGGCTTTAGGAAGTCCATGTGGCGCAGTGGTGTGAACAGAGGTGGATGGCGTTGATGCCGTTCGGTTCGATTTTTCGCCGCCTCCCTTTGCCAGGCTGATTAGTGCCCATCTCATGGACAACTGGGATGTCAGGTTCGCCTTTCATACATGGCAAGCAAGCGCTGTGTCGCCTTGCACAGAGTCTTCATCTCTTGCTGCCTTGCTGCAGTACTCATCACCATTCTTTAGCTGAGAGCCCAACCTTCAGAAGCCCTTTAGGCTCTTACAGGCCCTTACAGGTACTGGGATGTACAAGTCTTTCTAAACCCGTATCAACCCAGTCAGTCTGCAAAGTTCTCACAAGACCCTTGCTAGCTCATTAACCACAAAATCTCACTGTAGCAGCTGCTCCTTCCGACGTTGGCAAGAGGCCCTGCCGCCCAGAACCATAACCCCTGTCACGTTAGGATAGACTATCCAAGATAGCAGTTTTTCCTAAATGGCCCCTAACCTCTACACCCGAAACCCCGCCATTTAAGTAGGCCTCCAAACCCTATAAACCTTAAGCAAACCCAAACTGGCCATTCCAATTCAACAACCCCCCTCCTCCCCCCCCCGCCCACGTTTCTGCAAAACAACTCCGCGTTCCCCGAGTCTTTGCGAACTTTCCCAGGACATGCCCGTCACGGACGCTCAAATTCTTGAGCAGGTGGGCCAGCGCTGCCTCTGTTTAGGGTTTAGGGTTCAGGTTGACATGCACAACGTGGGGTTTGATCTAAACTAAGGGCCCTTTTCGAGAGTAGCCGCTGCCTAAACTACAAGTGGTACACTGCTTACTTCTGCGATAAAGAGCCCTTGCTCTAGCAGCTTGATGCTAGTCGAGTTGTCCTTGTGCGACTGCTCGTGACGGAAAAAGAGGTCATCAGTCATCTGGTGGACAAGAACATGGATCTTTGTCTGCTTCTTGTCCAGCCGCTCGTCTGCAAGAGCACTGCCACAGTGTCTTCATACCCATTGCGTGCAACACGCACATGTTTTGGTTTCTGGACATTTCTTTTGTAATTGGAGATGAGTAGCTTGGTGTCTCGTGGCCA